GATTAGCACGCTGTCCTGTGCACCTTTCCTAAGTCACACACCTTCTGTGGTCCCCCAGAAGAGCGACTCACTGAGTAAGATAACAAGGTGGAGACTATCTTGAAAACCACCCGAGTGCTGGGTTCTGTCCGAAAGCATAGCTTCGGCCCTCTTCTCGCCAGCAGACACGGTTCCCTTTCTTGTGCACAGCCACTCGCAGCATCAGAAACTGTCTTCAGTGACAACAGAAAGGAGGAGGTTAGGGGCAAAATGTATGAAAAGAGGCCACAGCCGAGAATCTGCTTGGTCTCAGCTGCTGATTTCCTTTATCCAGATTTGAGTTGTTCAGTATGTCAGCCTCTAGTCAGAGTGGGTATTTAAATTTCAGTAAAATGTAACTAAGATAAAAAAAATTGATTTCACATCTCAGTTATACCAGGCATATTCAACAGCCACAGATACAGTGGCTACCGTGGTGGAGAGTTACTATGGAACTGTCCATCCATGGTGGAAAGTGTTACTATAGAACTGTCCTTTATCATAAAAAGTTCCATTGGGTGGCATCTTCCTAGACTATCCACAGGGCCTAAAGGAAAGTAATGGGAAGGAGATTCAGGGCAGCCCAGAGTGTAATTTTGGAGACAGACAACTCTGTTTTGAGAAGGTGGGATGGGAGCGAAAATGGATAGTCTGTAGGCCTGAGACAAGGTTCAGATCATCATGGCAGGCTGAGCAATGACTTCCCAGTATGTCCACATCCTGGTCCCCAGAACCTATAAATATTATTGTATATGGAAAAGGGGACTTTGAAGATAGGACTGAGCTAAGGATCCTGAGATGAAGAGATTACCCAGCAGGTCCCGAATGTAGCCATTTGTCCTGATAAGGGAAGCCAAGGAAAACCTGATGACAGGAGAAAAGGCAGCAACCCGACTACCAATACAAAATGCTGTGCTGCTGGTGCTGAAGATGGTGGTAGATGTCATAAGCCAAGTTGTGAGAATGCAGCTCTAGAAGCTTGAAAAGGGCAAGGAAAGTTTCTCTCCTACAGCCTCCAAAGGGAGAACAGTCCAGTGAAGTGAATTTTGGACTTCTGACCTCACAAGTTTAAGGAAATAAGTGTGTGTGTTGTTTTAAGATCCCAAGCCCAAAGTGATTTGTTATAGCAGCAATAGGAACCTACCAATTTGCCAATACACTTGCCAACTGAAGTCACTGACAGTGACCCTTATAGAACATTCCAGAAAGTAAGCCAAACATCCCTAAGGGGAATCCTAGGATAAGGTGAACATATTCTGAAGAGCTGGGCTGTAATGAGGTGGAACCCCTCAGGAGAAGGCTCTGCTTAATTGCTGAAGTTGAGGGCTACGGCCTTCTTCCCCAGAGGTACTAGACCCTGAGGAAATACATCTCTTCTTAAGACTTCTATGGCATTCTGGGGGTCATGGGATCCTATCTGGAAAAGAATCTATCCTCTCAGTTGTTAGATGAAGCCCAGAATGGAGTCATGACCTGTTTATGGTTTCATTATTGCTGGGAGAGCAGGGTTAGGGCCGGAATCTGGCTCTCCACCTTATAATATAGTCCTTGTTTCCGCATCTCCCCACCCCTAGGCAAATTAAGAGGGGGAAGTCAGTTCCACAGATGTGGGAACACGGAGCAGCTGGGACAGCTCCACGAAGAAAGGCTTCACCCATGAATGACCAAAGACAGCATGGAGTCCTCCCTGTGGGACAACGTGGGTCTCCACCCATTGCATAATGTGGGATTTTGGTTCCTCCCGCCTCCTCTTGGCATAGTGTTTCCTTTCCTTAGCTTTGTGCCAGGAAATAGGTATCTGCTTACTTGGCTTTCCAGGTGGAGTTTCTCAAGGTTTCTGGGTGTGCACCAGAGTCAGAAGAGATGAGGCAGATCCAGTAAAGGGAGCTGCGGATTATGGAGCAACTTCTGGGTGCTGTCTGGCCTGTGTTCCTCTCCTCCTGAAGTGTCTCCTTCTCAGACTTCACTTTCCAGAAGGAAGAAGTCTGCTTCCTACTGTGCTGTTTCATTCAGACTTTCTGTCCTCCTTTATCCAACCCCAAATTAGAACCTTGCATGATATTCCGGTTGATTGATAAGTGTTTTCCTCCTGAAGGCCAGGATCTAACCAAGCAGAGCTGGGGACCAAGGAAGTGAGTTGAGCTGAGAATGGTGAAAAAACTTACAGCTCTTGCTAGTGGCTATGACCACTGACTGTGTCCCAAGACGCATTCCACATTGACCCCCCACAGACCAGAGGGACTCACCTTGTCTCCTTCCACGTGTCTCCACCTGCTCTCTTTTTTAAACTCGCCCTCTTGAAAAAAATGGAAAAACATTTGGGAACTGAGGGAAAATTGTGACTTCGTTTTCTACTTTTAAAACAGTTTCATGTTTAAACATACAAGTGTGTGAACTGTGCATATTCAAGAGAAAAGAGAAAATCAGTTTTTTCCTTTCAGGGAGCACAGCTTTCATCATTCCAGCCCTCCCTCCTCCCCTTTTATGGACACAATCCCAACCAGGAATCAGCACAAGGGAATAATCTCTCAGGCCATGTTAATTTCTTCTTCATCTCAGCTTGTGTCCCTGTGTTCCCCAAGAAGGGACAGAAATTCCTGATTCATCTCCTTTAATTTAATCTATCCATCCATCCATCCATCCATCCAGATAGATAGACAGACAGATAGTGTGTGTGTGTGTGTGTGTGTGTGTGTGTGTGTGTGTGTGTATAAGGCATAACCCCAAGAGACCCATTTTACAAGCAGCTTTTGACTCCCTTATGAGGATAGAGGATGACAGTGCACCTGGGTGGACACGTGAATGGCACAATCTGTCCAGCACCATCTGCACCACATGGACTGACAATGATTTATTCCCAGGGGTAGAAAGGATGCTACTCTATAAACTCATTGGGGTGAATTGAGACTGTAAGGGTACATGGGTGTACTCAAATCATATCAGGGAAACCAGGCGCAAAAACTTACCGTTCACATCAGAGCAAGGAAAGGGTGTAACTCTCTTACTTGGAAGAGGAGGACTGTGCTGGATAGATTTAGTGTTAACTTGACACACCTGGGTTGAGGGAGCCTCAGTTGGGGAATTTCCTTTATTGGACTGGCCTGTGGCCATGTCTGAGGGGCATCTTCTTGATGAGTGATGTGGGAGAGGCCAGCCCACTGTGGGTGGTGCCACCCCTGGGCAGGTGGGCCTGTGTTGCATAAGAAAGCAGTCTGAGCAGGGGCCAGGGGAGCAAGCCAGTAAGCAGCATTCCTCCATGGCCTGTGCTCCAGCTCCTGCCTCCAGGTTCCTGCCCTGAGGTCCTACCTTGGGCTCCCTGATGAACTGCAACTTGGGAGATGTAAGCTGAATAAACCCTTTCCTCCCCAAGTTGTATTGGTCAGAGTATTTTGTCACAGCAATGGAGAGAGACAAACTAAAACAGAAACATTAGCACTGTGAGGGCAAAGGCCCCCATCAACGTGCCATCGAATCACCTGGTGTGTGCATGAAGGATCAATGGGAAAAGAACTTCTGACCTTCCTACAACTTCCCCTTGGCTCTGTTGCCGCTATTGACATAGCCTACTTTACTGCTACCCGTCTATCCTCTTGTTGGCCCATCTGGACTGCCGTTCATCTGTCCTTCTGTTCCTTCATCTGGACCTCATCCTGCCCTTTGCCTCTACAACTAAATTCAACCCTGCAGCTTTGCTTTCAAAGCTGTGACCCACGGTGGCCTGACTTGTAGTCACCAGTTTCTCTGGTTTCATTACCCCTTAGTTCGTTATCTTATCAATCCAGACTCTACTTACATTCCTGTCACCTTTCCTGCTTCTCAGACTTCTGGAACCTCTTGAACTCTGCCACGGCCTCTTCACCCTTTCCAGCCATTCTGTAACCTACACATATACATATATAGATATGTTCACTGTGTTACCTATAGCTGAGAACTAATATTAGTGATTAAGATTGGAATAAAAAGAACCTGTGATTGCCTTGCCAGGGTTACCAAGGAAAGCAGGACTATCTGACAAGTTGCCGCCTTTAAAACTGCTCTACTTTGTGAATTTACTGTTATTCAATAAATGCCAACACTGCAAAACAAATACAAGTGTTCCCCTATGTTTAGGATAGAGTATGCACACAAGAGAAGGACAAAAGTTACAAGCACATAGGAATCACTCCCCAGGCTGAAGGAAGGGACCAGAGCACCCGGAAACATGTGGAGCAAAGCGCATGACCAGGCAAACAGCCTCTCAACCCCTAAGAATAAACCTACAAAGATAATTGCAAAGCCTGCCACAGATATCTGGGACATTCTCTCACTGCCACTGGGGCTTTATTTACCTCTACAGCTCTTTCTCTAAGAGTATCATTGGGGTAGGAAAGAGGGCAGGCTTTCCACTCAGGACCTAGGGATGTTGCATATTCTTATTTAGCACAGTTCCCACCTCAGTTCATCTATGCGGCCTTCCATCCAGGAACCTGTCATACAGAGAAGCAACAGCCATCCTGTCTCTGCCTTCAAGTTCCCGAACCAGTTTGTGGCTTCTGAGTCTCCATTTCCCTCAGAAATGACTTCATTCTCTACCTCTCCAGGTTAAGAGAGGCCTGGATTCCACATCTGCTTAGGGATCTCAGCTCCAGGGTGCCTAAGTATACATTCACTATTTTTCTCAGAAGCAAGTCATAACCTTATGGAACTAGACCTTCAGAAATCTCCAGAAGGACCCTGCCACTCCACTAGGTCTCTGGATTCAGCTCTCATTCTGAGACTGTGCACTACACAGAAGCGATTCTTTTCTTCGCTCCCCATTTACAATGAGGGCCAAGCTGTGACATAACAAGGAACACAGTTATCATTTGGATCTGTCAAGAAACAATACTGCAATTAGCAAGAAGCCAGTTTTGAAATAGGACACTTACTGGGAAGTCCATGGTTTATATATTTCCTGATTGCTGCCTGACACACCTACTTTCTAGTGACATTAAGGATATAAATTGCTCTGTGTGTACAGCACAGCAAAGGCCAACATGAAAACAGCCACAGTCTTGGTTCTGGTGGTTTTGGTCACTGTGGGGATGGACATGACCTGTGCTCTGAGATCTCCACACAGAAGTAAGTGTGCTAAAGGGATCCTAGCTGAGAACAGAGAGGCCTCAAAGCCGCCTAAGGCCTGGGGTCAGGCTGCCACAGAGGCAGACTGTGACCATTGCTTGGATCAAACTCAATTCCCTTGAACTCTAAGAGGGATCACTCTGCACTTCCCACCCTTTTTATCAGAGAAAGCTGCATCTGAAGAAGGTAGCGTAGAGATCAGGGTGGCTCCCCTTGATAGGAGCTGTGCCCGGGGTGTTTATTCCTGGAACTATTCACTCAGTGATGGACTTGGGGTATGGTGGGGTGAGAGCTGTCTGGTTGTGATGAGATTTTATAGCATCTTCTAAGGTATAAAGAAGGTAGTGGGATGCAGGTTTCTTTTCTGCTCAGACTCTAGGCTTTGTGGTGAGAGAACATTCTCCAAGGGCCAGATTGAAAATTGAGTATGTAAGAGTTGGAGCAGACCTGGCTAAGCTGAGGGAAGAGTCCAGAAGTACAAAACAGGACAGAAAAAGCTGACTTCCTGCAGATCACGAGGCCTTCAGACCTCCAGCATCAATTCTTAAACTGTCTTATTGGCTGCCTCAGGCCCCCAAACCACTGTTGTCTATTTCAGGACTACAAAAACCTGGAGTCTGCCCCACAGTGCCTCCAGGAACTTTTGGGATTTGTGTGGAAAAATGCTCAGGAGATGAATCATGTCCCAAGGAAATGAAGTGCTGCAGTAATGGGTGCGGTCATGTCTGCAAATCTCCTGTTTTCAAAGTGAGTACAGACCTGTGAAGAGCTGTCCTTTGCTGGTGAGCAAGTTCACAGTACATTTTCTGGACAAGTCTGATGCTGCCTTGTCCACTGTGCACAGAAGTCTGGGTGGGTCCAAAACAAAGGAGCTGGAACACAATGTCAGAAGGACACTGGGTTGCATTGTTTACAGCTCTTCCCTCTGCAAAGACAGCCCCCACAGGCTCAGGTGGGATATGTAACCATGACTTCAGATTCTCACGGTCGTTATTAACGGAGATTGCTCACTCTTCTTCCCCTCCCCAATCAAAGAGGTTTAACTCTTCCAGGAAAACGGCTGTTCCTGGGAGGAAGAAAGATAACCAAGTTGTTAATGAGACCCTTCAATTATCTGAGTGTCTTATATACCAGAGAAATAGACCTATATGACACCCCTGAACTTAGTACCAAGTCTACTAAGTTCTAAGAATATGATTAGATTTGTCTGGGCAAAGTGGGGAAGCTTTCAGAGTGATAATCAAATTAGAGAAAACCTTAAAGGATGTACAAAGCTTGCCAGACAAGGAAGGCCAGTTCTGATGTCAGGAAGCGTGTAGACACCTCTTTGGGAGATGGGGAAGGGATGTGTTGGACAGATGTTGCAATGTCTCAGGGGGACACTATCACAAGCTCGTGTCCAAAGAGCAATGTGTTGCCTACCATAGCGTAAATGATAAACAACTAGAGGTTTCTAAGCAGAGGAGATGCCATGATCAAATTTGTATTGTAGAAGGTGGGCCGTCCCGTGCAAGGTGGGATGGATACTTACAAGCATGACTGATGACCAGCCCCGGAAGATTGCTTCTGAATCCATGAATCCCATGCTTGACTTCTCCCTAGTTCTGGAATTGCAGTTTTAGAAGATGAAGATCTATAACAGGCTGGATGCATTCTAAGTTGCTTGTCTCCAAAATAAACTGTTATCTGTGGCATTATTCTGGCTGAACAGTTCTTCCCCTTTAGGCATTCCATCAATCTTCCCGACCAACAGAACCATCTGTGTAGCCTCTGGGGAGTCCCGTGAACACCAAGCCCTCCGATCCCAGCAGATTAAGGACAAGGTCCTTTTAACTAATTCCTTTCCTCTTGTCATGTCTGTATCTCCAGATAAGGCAAAGAACATAGGAATATTTTAGAGTACATTCTGTGAGCATAATTCTGGCTAAGCAAACAAAATTAATTGAGCATGTCCCACAGAACAGGCCTCCTGGAGACTTTCCCATGTTAAGGCTCAGGAGGAGCAGAAGGGTACAGGGACACCTCATTCTAATGCAATGCCACCACCAGCAGGGCTGGCTGCCCAATCCCAGGAGCATGACTATGACCTTTTGGATGTGACACTTTAAAAAGTAAGAGTTGTGGTGGTGTGTGCCTTTAATACCAGCCCTTGGGAGGCAGAGGCAGCAGATCTCTGTGAGATCAAGGCAGGCCTGGTCTACATAGTTCCAGGCAGGCTGGGACTTGGGATACCAACAAACAACAACAACAAAAGAAGTAAGAGTTGTGGGGCTGGAGAGATGGGTCTTCAGTTAAGAAACAGTATTGTTCTCCAGAGAACCCAAGTTCAGTTCTCAGCACTCACATCAGGTGACTCACAACCACCTGTAACTCCAGCTCCAAGGGGATCTGATGCTCTCTTCTGGCTTCTGTGAGCACATATACTCACCTGCAGCTACCTATACACAGACACACATACATGCACATAATTTAAAACAATAAAATTAAACCTTAAAAGCACGAGCTGTACCAGTTCCTGCCTGAACCAAGAGTTAGAATTCAGTGGAAATACCAGTAGGAACCTTGGGCCCATCCCTGTTCTTCAAATTCAGCATTGATGGTGGTAGGTACCACCTCCCCTCCTTTGGCCTTAGCTTGATGAGGTCCAAGCCACCCCCAGGCTTGATTGTTTGGAGCTCTTCGTGTTGCTGAGGTTTATGGCGGATCCTCAGAAAGGATCAGTGGAGAAGTAAACCTTCACCTCTTTGGGAGAAATATAACCAGGAAACATTTGGCCTCTGTTATCTTTTCTCCTAGATCCCCACTTCCACAGTTTGGTCTGGTTTCTGTCTTCATTTCCAACACTGCTTGTGCTTCTCACACAGTTTATCTCATAACTCGATGGCCCATGTCTTCTTCTGTAGAGTTTGCTCGATCTCTTTCCTCAAGAAAGCTTGCTAAATGTGTGTCTTTCTTTTACATCAATTCTGAGTCTCAGATACCTAGTTTTTTGCCCCCTGTAAGTTTATATTTCCCAGAGATACCAACTTCTGTGACTATTCATATGGGACTTAGGAGAAGAGCTAAACTCCAGCTCTTTGCTTGTATCTTCCTAGTGATTTTTGACAGGGGAAAGTGAGACTTTCCACCAATCAGAAGGCATTGTCTGGGCTCATCTAATCTCAATTTGACAACCACCTTTCATTCACTAGGTGCCTGTATCTCAGGAAACCTCCCTTAAACTCTATCAGTCAGGGTTCAAATAGAGAAACAACCAGGAGGAAAAACATTAAGAAAACACAGAGGTGGCTCACATGATTGGGCTTTTTCTGATCAGCTACAAATCTACAGGCTAGACTGCCTGTAAGGACAGTTCAGAATTTCCAGCAAAGCATAAGGGCACAGAAGGTCTTAATCAAGGAAGCCTCGGCTGTGCTTTCAAAGCATTGCAACTGGTTCTGTCTAGGATGACGTGTCTTACTTAAAGTCATTAATTATGGACTTAAATCATGGTCATAAGATTTCCCTTCCCAGAGACACCTAGACTAGCATTCGAATACTAGAGACGGTAGTGTAGCCAAGTTGACATACAAAACTGACAACCACAGTGCTTCTGTCCTGAACTCATCTCTAGTTTAAGAACTGTCTCCTTTGGCTGTTAAAGTAGCTAAACTTCAGTGTTGGGGAATATGGGCAGAGGATAGACCAACCTCTACCTATTGTATGTCTCTCCAGCTCACTTTAATGTCTCATTACTCTGAGCCCTACAGGACTGGCTCTGCTGGAATCTTCCTTCCAGAAACAATCTTCCTGGGACAACGTGGGGCAGGAAAGGGCAGAACACAACTCAAAATTCTCCCTCTAGCCTATTTTCTGTCTCTGGTCTCCAAGTCCCTTCTGCCCCAGCCTGCATAGCCAACCCCCTGACAACATAATACATCAGGACTTCTCCCCAAGAGCCTCACGATCTTTCTATCCATTACAAAATCTTCCAGAGAAATCTGAAGATACTCAGAGTCACCCAAGAAGGGGGGAGCAGTACTTCCTTGCTAACTTTCATTTATACATTAATTTATTTGTGTGTGCATGTGCATGCATGCGTGTGTGTGTGTGTATAAGCCATGTAACCATAGAGTATGTGTGGAGGTTGAGGGGAAACCTCCCCCTCCCCCCATGTTGCCCTGGGAATTGAACTTAAGTTGTCAGACTTGGCCTTAGGTGTCTGTACCTGCTGAGGCATCCCACCAGTCCTCACTGCTGACTTTCTCAAGCCCCCCGGGAGGTGTGGCCACACCTGTAGCTGACCCTAGGTTCAATGGATAAGAAGGCAAACGTTGGATAATGATTCTTCACAGTGAGGGGACCTCAGCTAGTGTAACTCCTAGCCTCTCTTCCCTGCTTCATTTCTCTCTTTAACTCACATATTTGATAAACTATGCAAACATGGGAGCTGGCAGAATACAAGAGCACATCATCCATAGAGATTCTGTCACCAGCGCCCCTACTCCAGAGGCTGGGATGCTCCTTGAGTCCTTTGAGTTCTTTGGGCGCCTGTGCCGTTGAACTAGGCTGCTCTCTGGGAGTGACTGTTGCTTCTGGACACCACTCCCAGGGTTTTAGACTCCACCCTCTGAGTCCTTCCTTCTCTACAATAAAAAATTTACTCTTTTATTTGAGTAGCCATTCAGAAGCAATATAGCTGGCCTGAGACCACTATTCTAATTGCAAATCTGCCCTTTGGCTGGCATCCTGGGAACTTGGATGCTAAAATATTTCCTACATTAATATAAAACTTTCTCTAGAGAATCAGTCATTCACTTTGCCTAAATATTTTGTGTAAACAATATGGTTTATGCTCAACAAACCTTATTTTTCTTATCACTGTGACCAAATACCTGACAGAAACGGTTTAAGGGAGGAAGGATGCATTTTGACTCATGGTTTCAGAGAGTTCAGCCTATGGTCACTTGACCTGTTGATTCCTGGCAGAGCCCCATGGGAGTAAGAGCATGTGGCAGAGGAGAGATGTTTGCTTCTAGGCCAACAAGAAGCAGAGAAAGGACAGGAGAGGATCAAAGCCAAGATACCCTCCAAGGACCCACCCCTAGTAACATGCTTCCTTCAGCCAAGCCTCAGCTCCTAAGTTTCCACAGCCTCCCAAAATAGCACCACCATCTGGGGATCAAGGTACAGCACATAAACCTGGGGGGATATTTCATCTTCCACTCATGGCATTGTTTTCCTGACAGCAGTTTGGAACTCTGTCACATGTTAGATAGAGGGTGTCTATATGACAGGCCCCTAATAAAAGCCAGGCAAACACTATATCACATGTGTCAATACAACTCACTACAAGAGGAATTAAGTTATTTATTCCTGGGTCACTTCACAGAGAGACTTTTGGAATCTTGAACATGGTTTCCTGTAGTTTTTGCCCGTGTACTTTTTCTTTGCTGCCTCTGGTGTGTGTGTGTGTGTGTGTGTGTGTGTGTGTGTGTGTGTGTGTATGTATGTATGTATATGTATGTATGTGTGTGTGTATGTATGTATGTATATGTGTGTATGTGTGTGTATGTATATGTGTGTATGTGTGTGTATGTATAGTGTGTGTGTGTGTGTGTGTGTGTATGTATGTATATGTGTGTATGTGTGTGTATGTGTGTATGTATGTATGTATATGTGTGTATGTGTGTGTATGTGTGTGTATGTATATGTGTGTGTGTGTGCATGCATGTTTATTGCTGTATAGCAATCTGTGGGATGCTGACTTAGATTCTTTAGGATATTTACCCAGAAGTGGTATATCCAGATCATATGATAGTTCTAGTTTGGGTTTTTAGGAACCTCCATACTGGTTTCTACAGTGACCTCATCCATGTACATTCCCATCATCAGTGTGTAATAAAGGTTACTCCCCTAGTCCTCCAACCTCACCAGCATTTGCTACATTTTTTTTCTTGATGGTAGCCCTTCTGACTAGGTGAGGTGGAACCTCTGTGGGGTTTTCGTCTGCATTCCCTGGCGTGGATGTGGAACCTTTCTCCAAATACTTATTGGCCATTTGTATTTCTTCTTTAGAGAAGTTATTGTTCAATCATTTGCCCATTTATTGATCTATTGATTGGTGGGATTTTTGTTGTTTGTTGTCGGATCTTTGCTGCTTTTGCTTTGCATGTTTTCATTGTGAGAGCATGATTATACGGCAAGTCCTAGGAGTCTGTCCAGCAAAGAATGGCACCCAGAGGTGGCTTGAGCATCCCTAACACAGTAGCTTGCTCAGACTACTTCCTGGCTATAGGAATTTGGAGTTCAATGGTTTCACTAATTATGTGGACTATTTGAGTATTTTTAGTTCAAAGGTATAGTGTTTAACAATAAAGCTCTCTTTTAAAAATCTAATGCTTCCTATGAAACTGATTCAGATCTCCTCTATCTAGGTCCCACAAGTCTCTACCAAGATTCTCTTGGCAAACAGGTGTAACTACTTTGAGTGTCTCAAGATTTTTTTTGGATAAGACCCGTTAGCAATTTTTGAAGTTCTTTTGTTTAGCTCAACATTTCTTCTAAGTAATCAAATCTTACAGATAGCTTAACAAAGTATCTCATAGCCTTATTGTTACTAGATCTCTTGTGTTATACCAATTATTACATTGAGGATCTTTTGTTGCTATGAGAGATCATGGATGAGAAAGCTTTTATTTTCCAACCTAGAAATTCC